TACTGCCATCGAATTGGTTCCAACTCATAACAACCCTGTAGAGTGTTTCTGAGGACCCTGAAGTTCAATCAGACCTTTGGGTCCAGTGCTTTATCCTACAATCCTACAAAGGATTGTCTCGTGGACCAGCTGATGGATTTGAACAGCCAACCATTGTTGTTGTAAATGTAAATACATTTACATTGTATTAATCCTGGTGTGGCACTGTAGGATAAACATTGGACAGCTAGACACAAAATTGGTGGTTCAAACCCACCAGCTGCTCCTTGGAAACCCTATAAAGGGTTACTATGAGTTGTAATCACCTTGATGTTAGTTCTTGTCCAGTGGTGATGATTTTTGTTTTCTTTACAATGAAGTGCAACCCACACTGAAGCCTGTGGTCTTTGATCTTCATCAGTAAGTATTTTTAGTCCTTTTTGCTTTGAGCAAGCAAGGTTTATCATCTGCATATCGCAGATCGTTAATGGAGCTTTCTCCAATCCTGAGGCCATATTAGTCTTCATATAACCCAGCTTCTGGAATTATTTGCTCAGCATATAGGTTGAATAAGTATGGTGAAAGAATACAACTTTGGCACACACCCTTCCTAATTTTAAGCCATTCAGTGTTCCCATGTTCTGTTTGAAGAACTGCCTATTGGTCTATGTCCAGGTTCCTCATGAGCGCAATTAAGTGTTCCTGAATACCCATTCTCTGCAATGATGTCTATAGCTTGTCAGGATCCACACAATCTAAACCCTTTGCATAGTCAATAAAGCACAGGTAAGCAACTTTCTGGTATTCTCTGCTTTTAGCCAAGATCCATCTGATGTCGACATGATATCCCTTGTTCCACATCCTCTTCCGAATCCGGCTGGAACCTCTGGTAGCTCCCTGTTGATATGCTATTGCAGCTGGTTTTGAATTATCTTCAGCAAAAGTTTACTTGTATGTGATATAAGGAAATTGTCTGATGATTTCTGCGTTCTGTTGGGTCACCTTTCTTGGGAATGGGCATAAATATGGTTCTCTTCCAATCAACTTTTTTTTTTTTTT